TCTTTTTGACTTGTTTCCTCCTCCCTTTATGACACCGTTCTGAGTGTCTGTGTGTTAAGGCATCCTGATACTGTAGATTAGCACTGAGGTGATTGACTCAAACTCTTCTTCATCAAAGCTCAAGTCATATTTCAACCCCCCCATATTGTTCTGCTTTTGTGTGGCCCATTCAATGAGCACTGCATTAATCCTCCAGTGAATCAGAGGCTAATCTGCCTGCATTCCTCACGCTATCCGTGATAGGAGAGGTTGGGAAGACATCAAACTGCTCCAAGAAACATGGAACCTTGTATTATAGAAGCCTCTGAAGCCCTCGCTCGTCCTGCAGGGTTGTCTGCTTGAGCCCACCGAACAGAAAGGTGAAGAGAAGAGTCCCCTCTCATCAGAAAGGTGAAGAGAAGAATCCCCTCTCATCAGAAAGGTGAAGAGAAGAATCCCCTCTCATCACAAAGGTGAAGAGAAAAATCCCCTCTCATCACAAAGGTGAAGAGAAGAATCCCCTCTCATCTCGCCCTTGTGCTTCCTTGCAGGGGGCTGGGGGGGTGAAGGTTTGTGTTAGTCATTTAACATGCAAGAATCATATACTCATCAGTCCATAGCAGAGAAATGCTATTGTAAGTTAAGGGTGAGCTAGTCCCTGTGGATATGCCCCCTCCTCAATGATTCTAAATGTTATATTAATTTACCATTTACCATTTGATCAAATATTAATTACCAGAAATAAATGTTCTTGTCCATAAAACATCGGTTTAAACAAATAGATTACCTTATATAATTGACTCTTCCCTCCCTTTTCTTACATATATTACATATGAAATAATAACTTAGGAGTCTATTTAAATATGGTATAGTTTATAATGTATTAATCGAGAAGACTCAGTATCACCTTTGTGCAGCTTACAAAAAACAATTGTGAGGAACAAATATTATGCAGGAAATTGATACATTTGGTGAAAAAACAATATCTGATTTGGGAGGAAAAGCTTCACCCCCTTAACATCTGAGTTATTACTCATGGCATAGCATGAATGATATTGGGTGGCTGAGGGTGTCACTACTGAGAAATGTCAAACAAAATCAAAACCCTACATTTGAAAACAGGTTTGCATTCCTCCACTTAAGATGACATCATCATTGGAAACAATAAAAGCTAATTGTTTTTATGTAGAATGAGAATCTATAAATTGAAAAAACATTAGAGCAGAACAGAATGGTTGTATTGTAGCCTGAGTTTTGTGCAGCCTTTAATTTTACCAGGTGGAAGCATTGTCTACAGAGGCCCCTGAAATTAGGCCTATTCAAAAAAATAGTAGGGGCTTTTAACAGCTCGCCAACATACAGGCATCCTCTGCATAGCAGAATGAATAGCCTTACAAAAACAAAACCCACTCTGTGGTAATGAGAGTCATGTATATGAACCAAAATGCCCTAAGTGAAGCCGTTAGTCTCATCTGACTGACCCCAGGTTGGTGCTGAAGTGAGAGGGGGGCTTCCAAGTGTTTAAAGCAGGTGTCACGCTTTCAGTTCATGGCTCAGTGGGGGGGAGCAGATCCATGTGAGACAGTATCAACGGCTGTAATGTTCGTGTGCCTCCTGAGTCTTTGGAGGAGGAGGAGCGGCAGTTTGAGGAGTGTCATTCTCTCTGGGAGCAGGAAATGTTGGCCATTCTCGGACCAGACCATTAATGTCATTGCATGTAGAGCAGCCATAGCATCTCTGTGACTGCACTCAGCCGGACTTTAGCAGGGCAGTCACTTTTTAGTGAAGTCGTCCAAGGCCATAGACAAAATGGAACCACGTACTAACAAAAAGGGACACAAGGTCATCAATGTCGCTCTTTACCTTTGGCCTAATTGTAAAACGAATTATTGGAGAAAAAAATTGAACACTAATCCATCATCATGAGAAATTTAGATTTGCACGGATCAGAATCTAATCAATACACCATTTTCCCAGCTCTGTAATGAAAAGGATAACAAGATTAGGTACATTTCAGGAGCGTTAAGACACCCAAACATGCACACTTATACTAGGTCTACAGGTCTAATGTTGTGAACAAAATTATCAAGTCAAAGTTATTTATTTATTTTATCTTATTTACCCCATTTAATTTGATAAGTAATCGTGAATTACTAATAACTCCAAAGAAGGCAACCATTTCCAATGTGGATGTCCAAAGAGTGAGTGAGTGTGTGTGTGTGTGTGTGTGTGTGTGTGTGTGTGTGTGTGTGTGTGTGTGTGTGTGTGTGTGTGTGTGTGTGTGTGTGTGTGTGTGTGTGTTTTAAATCGGGCTCAAGTTGAACCTTTAGGGTTAGGGTTGATCATTACACTCTGAACTAGTTAACGACAGAGGTGCATACATAACAAATATAGGCTAATTGATCACAGGTGGACAGTGGCATGCGAGAATAGAACCAGGTGTGTTTCATCATTAAGAATTATTTCAAAACTGACTACGGCAACTTGGTATAGTCTTGACCTGCAGTTTCAGTGTTGGGGGGTTGAGGGGTACGCTATGCATTGATTCTCGGGTCGAACATTAATACCTACGGTGATGGAGACAAAAAGGCACAAGGCATCAGGTGCCCAGTTTAGAAAGAAAAGGAAAGAAGTAGAAGAGAAAACGCTCAAAAGATAAAGGTATCTATGCACCTGTAACATCTCAATTATTTAGTTGGGCTATATTAAGCATGTTATTAAATTATGCCAGTAACCTTAACTCCATTGCTGCTTGTTAGCTGCCTGTGTTTCGTCGTCAGTTCAGCAACTAACATTGGAATCATTTCAAACCGTCTTACTTCAGAAACGATAATGTGTAGCCCTGCAATAAAAACCTTATAAACAACCACTATAACCGTTATTGATTTAGTCACCTTCATTTAGCAAACACCTCAAAGGTAATTGTGTCCTTTGTGTAATTTTTGATTGATGACTTGCATCAAAGAAGGCAAGGAAGGTCAGACTGTAGAGGGCAGTTTGGGAGTTGAACTTAGAGATGCCTAATTCTATAAATAAGTTATTTAACCCGTGTTCTGGGAGATGGGAGGTGCAGCGCCCAGGGCACCATATCAGCTAGAACCGCCACTGACGAGTCAGCACTGTGCTTTTAGACCATCTCTTTAAAGAGATGGCGGTGGTGTGAGTAAAAGCTTTAGGCCCAGGCTGTGCGTTTCTCCCTCCCTGCTAGCACCACCCCAGTTAAACCGAAGCGGGAATGGTGTCTGCACACACCCCCCATATTCAGCAGCTGGAGCTGTGCCAAGAAGGCGATAGTGTGGCTATCTCGGACTGCTTCGGCTAAACTGTTCATGTTGGCCGCTGAAACCGCTACAATTCGGGGATTTGTGAATACAAATCTTAAATTGCTTGTCATACAGAGGTTTCTCGAGCAGATACACAAGAGAAAATCAGCCAGGACATCTGATCCTCTAGGCCAGGGGTGTCCAAACTACGGCCCGGGGGCCAAATGTGGGACATTTTGAATCGGCCCTCAGCAAATAAAAAAACTATAATGGAATACGGCCCACAAATGAAACTTGAGCTTTTCTTGTATTGTACTTATTAAATATATCTGTAAACATATATTACACAGTAGTATTCACGTGTTAATAAGCCCAATTTACAATAAATTCAGTCAATTACATTTGAAATTTTTTTCTAACAAATCTAAGTCGATAAGAAAAAAGCCCAATAACTTATATACATAACAAACTTGAAATATACCCTTCCTATTTCCTCTCATGATAATCAATCTGGGGCTCCTGTTGTAAGGGATGAGCTGCTAACCAATTAAATGAAACCCTATGGAGAGCTGTGATGTAGGCCGTTTATTTTTTCTTAAAGCAGATTCAAGTATCAAGCATAATTTGCCTACTTTTGATTGATTTTGCTAACTTATAACTTCACTTATGAGGCAGTAAACCTGACCTCTAGTGAGCGGCCCGGCCCTTCGAATACTAGTATGTGGCCCTTACAGTGAAAAAAGTTTGGACAACCCTGCTCTAGGCGTTAGAAAGCCTCAGATGTTCATTAGCCAAAACAAAACAGCAGTTCATTTCACAGGTAATTTTATGATACCGTCATTCACAGATTCTGGTAAGGCAATGTCCAAATGAGGATTTGAAATCACTTACCAGTTCTGTAGATGTTTTGGTATCCTGCCGACAACGCCAATTTGTGATGGAAACTTCTGAAGCAATGGAGACGAAACTCAGAGAGACATGGCTAGAGATGGAACTTTGATGGCAAACACTGATGGTTTATTTGGAGCTTCGGCCAGAGAATTCACAAGACATGTTCTGTGCCACAAGGGGACACCGAGGTTGCCAAACCAATTCTGAAGAACTCTTCTGTAGTTCCAGGTTTTAACTAGTTCGGAATGTAATAATCAACATTCTTCATCAGCGAGACTAAACAAATATGGACCCTGAATCTAACTAGAGCTGTTGTCCATAGAAAATAATGTGCGCCAGGGAACCTACATTCGAGAAAAGAAGGGCCTCTAGATGGCCCTGAACAATAAACTATCTCATGTCAGCTTGTGCTCGGTCATAGCCTCATCAATGCGCCCAAGCTGCCCCTCCTTAAGAGAGATAGCAGCAATAGCAAAGGCCGTAGACCTATGCCATGGGAAAAGAGACTGTGAAAGGAGAAACGATGAACTGTGTCAAAGGTTGAATATCTAAGCAAATTATTCCCTAACAATTAAAAATACATAAATACTTGTTTTTCATATTTGAGCCAATTCTACATGCCCTTTTTTTAACTGTAGTGTAAATAGGGCTATATAGCAGTGTTAGGCCACACTGTCGAGGCTATTACTCCATTGTGCTATGCCCTAAGACAGGCATTGTGGTAAAAATGTAGCATGGGGGGCTAACTTCTTTTCAAACTATTTATTAAATCATTTATTTTCCAGGAATTGCATCACTGTTGTAACCCCAATATATGAATATAAACAGATATAGGCAAAACAGGTGCCATAACAAAAAGAGACAGAGTTATAATAATCCATATTGGATGGTAACCAGATTTCATATTTAATAATATTCATATTCAGTTGTCATAAAATACTTCAAAGACCATGAACAACAGGAAATAAAGACTTAATTTATCTGGATGAATGCTGTTTCACATTCTGAGGATTACAAATAAAGATTTCCAAACTAAACCTAGCCGAGACCCTCACAAAAATATTTTTAAAGCTTGTTGTCTTTTTTCAAATGTAAACACTCTATCCACGTTTCTACAAAATGTTCAAACAAATGGTACAAAAAAGCCAGTTGGGTTTGACAAAATCTAACTGAATTCTGTTTTGAAAGGCATGACTGAGGTTTCCTGGACGTAGTTTATCCTTCCTGGGTCCTGATGTTTGGGGACCTCACTCCCGATGGACCAGCACGAAGAGACCCAGCAAGATGAGGACAGCATACTGCGGGAGGAAAACAAGACATTTAACAAATCAGACGATCATGCTGAACATCACTAAGCTTAAAAACAAACAAAATCTTGTAAACTGACTCTAGTGCTATAAGGTCTACCAACTTACTTTGAACTTGGGGTAATCATTCATGAGAATGGTGACAATTCCGATGTATGGCACAAACCTGGAAAAGATACAAATTGTTAACCATAAGGAGATTTTATAGATGCATCATATTGCATATTAAAACAACAGTATTTACAAAGTGCTTTACATAAAAGACGTTTTACAGGAGGATAACTGGTATAACTACAGCAGTAAACAAAGATCCAATTAAGAACAGATCAGGACTTTACAAAACCTCAAAGTGCATAGGGAGTGATTCACATTACAACCAGTTTATTAAAGTGTGTTTCATAAAGGGGTTTAGAAGGTGAACCTAGACGTGCAAGCCTACTATCCTCAGGCAGTTAAGTTTGTAACTGATAACATTTTCTGCTGTGAAAAAAATATCAATAACTTATCTTTTGGTAGCATATTGGATAACATTAGATATTGGGAAGCAGACATGATTGGGGCTCAAGCAGTCCAATTAGAAATGAAGGCAAAACATTTCAAGACAACTCAAATTATCAGAAGACGCCTTCTTGAGAAACGCCATCAGGTATTATTTCATAAGCCTGATCGCCATTATTGGAGCTGACCGCTATCCTTAAGCAAAATCGTTGCTTATTTCACACAATCGAGTGGATTTAAAAGCCACTGTTACTAACTTGGCACTAATAGAAAGTATTCCTTCAACTTTTAGTTAGAAAAAAAGACTGATGTATAGATCTTACAGTGCTTTGGCAGGTTCATCCGTTTAAGCTAACATGAGATATGTATGGCTTTCTGAAGCAAAAGGGTGACAAAGAGGTGCCAATAATAAACATCTCTCTTGATGTATTTATGAGAAACTCCCCTACAGGTGCAGCAGTGTTTTCTGGGGAAAGTAATGCTGTGCTTTCATCCAATTCTTCTAGTTTTACAACTCACGTACAAATATTTTGATGAAAACAAGGTGTGGTTCATTGATGTGCAATCTGGTGCCACTAAATGTTTTTAAAGCTCGGTTGGATGCTACTCAATCGGAAGCTGTTGGTACCTGTTCATGTGGATAGTTATGTCAATAGTAATCCCTGTAATGATGCTGTATGATGTCCTTTTTGTTGTTCTGTTTATGTTTTTATGTTTCATGTGGAACCTACTTGAGCAGGTCTCCCTTGAAAAAGAGATCAATGATCTCAATGGGATACAACCTGGATAAATAAAGGTTTGAAATTAAATTAAATGTGATCAAGCAAAAGAGAGATGTATGGTTGATGCACTGATTGAGACTTCAGTGTGTCTCTGGTCAAACACTGCAGCGAAAGCTAAGTTGGATCCTGATACTGTCTCTGCCTCTGCCTCTCTGCCTGCCCCCCCCCGCGGTGTGGAAGCTGAAGCAGGAACGGTTAATCCCTGCTGCATATTAACTTCTGAAAATAACAGAAGACTCTTGAAACACTTGTTTTTTCTACATTAGGGGGCCTACACAGATTCAGAACAAGATATTCTGATATTAATCTGTGTAGCAGAGCAAGAGGTGAAACATTGTATAAGCTAAATATTTGATAATGAATTTCAGCCATTGAAATGAATAATATGGATTGAAGTCTTATTGCAAAGCTGAGCACACTAGCGCCGCTTTGTGGCATTGAAGAAAAAACAATAAAGACAATTAAATCTGGATTTGCAATTATTTCTCAAACAGTCGACTAATATTTCATGATCGTGACAGCCCTATTCTTGAATGAACATCTGCTTATAGAACCATTTGAGTGTTTAATGCCCATCCTATCTGTCGGAGCAAGGCACATAATTGACCTGCGTATCACTTAGTCTCCGATAGTAACTGTGTGTGGAGGTGCAATTCATATTTCCTGAGCACCTGCTTGTTATCAGTTTTGTTTGTAGGGAGGTGAGTAGGAAGCTCTCTGATATCCCGCAACATCTTGTAAGGTAAAGGTGATTTGTTGTTGGAATGATAAACAACCAGAGCGTAGTTATGGAGTTGTGCTCTTTGTTTGGATGAAGACTCAGCGGTTAATTACCCGTCTATGATAGTCACGACAACACGATCCCTCGAATACATCTGGACAAGCGCTGATGAAGAGAATGAGTAGCCTAAATCCTACCTTGTTCAATATAAATTGACTGGAAAATATAATAGAAAATCATAATCCCTCAATCTTATACAGGAAAAATGTGAAATTGCTACTTTGCATATGACCTTCTTCTCAGTTTGTCACCAAACTAAGACAAACGGGGCTCAATTCCATTGGACGGTACAAGTGTCGCTTTTTATGCCAGAAAACCTTGGCAACACATGATAATGTATCGTGTAAATAACCACTATTGAATGTAATACACATTTCTCTGCATTTGTTATAAAACATATTTCATCTGTGGACTCAGATGGCCATAGAGCCTGAAAGGTAATTTGTGTTATTAAGCTATCAAGATATCTGGATTAATCATGGATATTTTCATATCACTTACCCCCTGGCTCGTCCCACCACGTCTTTTTTCTCCAGCCAGTGTTGGCCCTGCTTGTACAGTCCTCTGTCATCCACTGCATTGTTGTCCCCTTTGGTCAAGAACTTAATGTCTCCAGTTTCCCTGAGGACAAAATTATTTTATACCACAACGTACATCAAGGCCTGTTTTTCAACACATCTGTCTCTGGATGATTCATGATGAGTGGGAAATTTCAATGTGGCCTCTCTGAGAATTGTTCTTCTCAGGTTTGCTATACAGCAGGGGTGTCCAAACTACGGCCCGGGGAAAAATGCGGCCCGCGGACCCTTTTGAATCGGCCCTTAGCAAATTAAAAAAGTATAATGTAATACGGCCCACAAATGAAACTTGTGCTTGTCTTATATTGTAGTTCTTAAATATAAATGTAAACATATATTACACAGTAGTATTCATGTGTTAATAAGACCACTTTTCAAATAAATTCAGTCAATTCAAGTTGGAAACATTTTTCTAACATATCTTAGTTGATAAGAAAAAATCCCAATGACTTATTTATATAACAAGCGTGAAATACACCCTTCCTATTTCTCCTCATTATAATCACTCTGAGGCTTCTGTTTTAAGGGATGAGCTGCCAGCACTCACAAGCATAATTTACCTACATCTGATTGATTTTGCTAATTTATAACTGAACTTATGAGGCGATATACCTCTAGTGAGCAGCCCGGCCCTTCGTATATTTTTCTGTATGTGACTCTCGGTGAAGAATTTGGACACCCCTGGTATACAGGCATGGGACTCAGTGATACTGAAAGTAGCACTTAATCACGGTCAGTAACATTAATACAATGTTTTTTTCCTACTTTTCATGGATCTTGAGCACTCTGTGTACTATGGGGATCTCTCTGCCTTCTATCCTGAAGACGACAATCTCTCCGACTCTGATGGGGTCCTCTACCCTGTTGGTGAGAAACAGCAGGTCTCCTCTGTGGAAAGCTGGCTCCATACTCCCACTGAAATGAATGGTGGATACATATTATTAAAATGAGTTACTAACATTTAGATTGTTTCCATTGGTACCAAATGTCATATGGGATGCCTATCCCGACCTTTGTGTAACAGACAGTATCCACAACTTGTGGCAGCAAGTCATGTCATTTTAGAGTTGAAAAATATCTAAATGGTCGCAGTGTGGAATTGTTGGAACATTGGAAAACAATAAACAGACGAAGCCCAATATCAAATGTGCAAAACAACAATGAGGTATCAACAATAACTCTCCAACTGGACTTGCATTAATTATGATGTGACAAAACTAAAAGCCTTTTCTAGTCAAAGGAAAGACTTCAGTGAATAATCATCTGGAAGATTAAATAATGAATACAGGAATAACAAAAAACACAATCATTTGGACATCTGTATTCAATCGTACTTATCCTAACAGTTTGATCAAAATACAACAGTTATAATACTGTTGCGTACATTGGTACTACTCACAACCCAACTGTCGCTTGCAACAGACATGCATGAGAGGACACATTTTCACAAAGCTTCACACATTTTCTTCTGTAATTATGTTCACATGCTTTCACATAATTAAAAAGCAATACAATTTATGCTGTGTTGCAGAAGGATCCTATTTTCATACATTTGTTGACAAACATTGCTGTATTAAGTATTTATTAATGCAACTTCTAGTGACCAGGGGATATTATGTTTTGTGAAACAGTTTCAAATCAGATAGCAAACAGAAGTGTTGTTTTATATCTTCAGCCATTTTGACTCTTCTACACCACAGAACAACAGGAAGTCGTGTAATGGCCCTGAAGTAGCGTTTTGCATTGTGTTCTTTATACTATTACAGTTGAAGTTTAAACGACTACAATCACTGCGTACAGGGTTGCAATATACTGTATTGAAATTATTATTGTATCACCAGATTGTTGCCAATACACAGCCCTACAAATGTGTGTCAATGTAGCATAGATCACATTTTCACCATGTGCAACCAAAGCCCTCAATCTCTTAGTGTCTAGCAATCATAATTCAAAGCTGCACGAGAGAAAATATTAACACCCACAAAAACCTAAACGCCCCCGAGTATTGAGGCCCACATGTGATTTGCCTGCCCTAAATAAATAACAGTCTGTGGACTCTGTATTTGTTGTTTACTCGGAGCGAAAGATTTGAACTAGTCATGCAGAACCACAAACCCTAGTTATTTATAATATCACTAACTCTCATCAGCAGAGGCAAGTAAGTCCAAATGAAGGCAAAAAAATAAATGTTACCCTCCTGTCGTGTTGGGGTCAAATCTGACCACTGTACTGCTTTCATCAATCATAAATATTGTGTTTTACATTAGATTGCCTCAAGGCCCTATGATATCCTCCACAGTAGGCATTTCTACATATAAAATTGCTAATCACCACATCCATTGAACTGAGTGGTTTAGTCAACTTTGTTACACCTATGATGTTCCCGGTCAAATATGACTGACATAGGAAATGACTGGGTAACCCTAGATTATGTTCATCCAGATAGTACACACTCGCAAATCGACAAAATGTTAATTTTGGAATCCATTTTCAGTGTCTGTTATCGTATGTTCACTGCAGTTATTCATGTTAACCAGTATTCTGACTGAGACAGTGTTTACAGCTTAAAAGGGTGTTAAATAAAATGTGGTGATGCTTTTTCTGTTAATGTAAGAGCAGTTAAAACACAGTCAAATTTGACCGGGAACACCAAAGTAACGGGGGAGAAACGACAGGAGGGTTAAATACCAACACATGTGACTTACCTGAGAACAACAACAATCGGACTCTCGCTGCCGGTGACGACCATCAATCCCTTCCAGATCATCAAGGCAGAGGAAACTATCATACCAAAGTTCAGCACCTGGTAATAGAGCTGCAAACACAAATAATATTAAAATTGCATTTCTTATTACAGCCTCTCAAAACACACATCTGCGTGTAGAGGTTAACTCCTGATTGTTTCCCACCATATGTTTGAGATAACATTACATTCAGTGGTGAAGTACTAGTAAGCAAATCCATAAGTGGAAGAAGTACTCATATCTTGTACTATTGTAGGAATACTGTGTTACTAGTTAAAGTTCTGCAATCAAAATGTAAATGTACAAAGGTATTAGCATCAAAACATACATAAAGTACCAACAAGTACTCTTTATGCAGATTGGTCGATATTTTAATAATATTATGTGTCTTGATTATAATTATTTATGTATTAATGTGCTTATCAAAGCTGGTAAAGGTGCAGCTACTTTTAATTCATGTGTATACTGCAGGGTAGCTTTTGTATTTACTCGAGGTTTTAATAAGTCTTATTCAAGTATTTAATATAATTCTTCAAAATCTGAAAATTAACTAAAGCTATATTAAATCAATGTTGCGAACGAAGTAAAGGTACAATATGTACCTCTGAATTGTAGTGGGGTAGAAGTACATAGTAGCAGAACATTGAAATACTTAAGTAAAGTAAAATTCCCTCAAATTGTACTAAAGTACAGTACAGAGTAAATGTACTTAAGTTTCTTTACACCACTGCATATGTTTGAGATAACATTATATTCAGTGGTGAAATACCGGTTAGCAAATCTGACTTTAGCTAACGGTGCCATGACAATAGTGTTAAAATGAGGAACAACATGGCTAGCGACACTGAAGTCAAGAGTATGGTTTAAACAAGGTTACAATGTGTATTTCAAACTACGGAATAAGGGGTTATTTTGAGAGATGATTAAGCATGAAACAGTTCTCTTGAAATGTTGCTAACAAGTGACAGACAGCTACAGTGTTAAAAAGCATTTGGTGGCTAGTTATCGTTAGCTTTGTATTTCTACCATACAAAGAGACGGTGGTCACATCAGAGCAAATGTCCGGGTACATACCTGCCGCTTATTCATGCGACGAACATCGTCGAGAAAGTCTAAAGACAACATCGTGGCAAATACTACTGTATAGAAAAAACACCTAAATCACATCAAAACGTTTTAAAGTAACGAGCATATGGATGCACAGGCAAGCGCTGAAAACTTGCATCCGAATCTTCCGGGTGCGCGTAACCGGAAGTCCCGCCCACCACTGAGCGCTGTGTTGAGGTGTCAGTTTAGGATACGAGAGAGAGCATGGCACACACTGAAAGGAAACGTGTCGCTGCAGGGTCTGTTTCAGTTTTCACAGAAGTTTAAAAACAAAACAAGAGATGATGCCACATTAAAATTAGGGCATTGGATAGATAGATTTACCCTGATCATTTGCTGTGCAGCACATTGCAATATAAAGTGGGAACAGTGCAGATTTATAGTAAGATAGAAATCGAAGATACAATATTCATAGACAATTCCCTGTGGCTTTGTGGTACTTTTTTGTCTCCTCATTGTTGTTATGCACCTCAGTGTTGGTCTTGTTTGATCATTTATGCTCCTTTAGGTTGTGTTGCATTACTTTTTAGATGTATTGCATCTTTTGAGGTAATTTTGGTGTCTGTGAACACATTTTTTCTCTTTGCGATTATATTCTGACCCTTTTGGATTGTTATGTGCTTTTTTAGTTTTGCACGTCTTTGTAGAAGTTTTGCATCTCTTTATGGTCATATCTGTGTCTCTTGTTTGTGTTTCTTTCGAGGTTGTTTTGCATCTTTAGAGGTCTTCAACTCTTTGTGTTCATTTTATTCCTATGTGGTTGCTTTTGCATTTCTATGTAGACATTTGGGTCTTTGTGGTTGTTTCATGACTGTTTGTGTTGCTTTTCATACCTTCCTTTGTTGACACTTTTGAGTCTTGATTTGTTCATTTCTTTCTCTAATAGTTTGGCATTTCTCTTTTTTTGGTTATTCTGCCTTTCTTGGCTTTCCACACCACATAAACGCCAGATGTATGATAAAGGTCAAAACTTATATTTATACATGATTAGAATGCATATGATTATGTCAGTGTTATTGCACTATATTATCGGATTGTGAAAAGTGATTTGAGCCATTGTTTTTTATAAAAATATTGACTGCAGCTTTTTTCAAAAATGTTTTAAGCTTTGTCTAAAACATTCACAATGCCTTCAGAGTGCCCTTTCTTTTTCATTGTGAGTCAAATATAGTGAAGCTTACAATCAGTCATGTAATCATAAACCAAACAACCACCAGTAAAAACATCACTCTGAATTTGTAATTTATGGAATATTAATAGCCGCCATTAAAGGAGGGTAAACTATTCTGCAAACAAACTATTACACATTAAGTAAATGTCAGATTACTTTCCACTAAAACCTTAATCAACATCTGGACTGTTGCTTAATAAAATGTGTCACAAAACAAAGAACAAGTGAGAAGCTTTCACCGCCACTAATTATCATGCTTTCTTCTATCACTGATAACATCCAATTTCCTAGAGGAAGTGCGTTTGACGGAATAAGTAATAACATCATTATTGACCAAACACCTGAAGTACAGCTGCCAGTTGATAGTCTGTGGAGATTATTAGTGACACATACGACATTTGTTTGACTAATACTTAATTGTTTTTTCCCACTCCGTGTTAAAAGTCATGTCAATTTAATTTGAGAACATGTTCTGGCAATGTGTTGACTGTATGTTTGCAGGGACACACATAAATAAAGACACTATGTCAACATGGTGTTAACCTTTGAATCAATTATAAACACACATTGTTATAATAAAACAACTCTGTCCTTCTCAGCAGCTTACATCTTTGTCGACTAAAGGAGAAAATTGCGTATATTTATTTGTTGATATTCATTTTAGAACAGTGCTAAGGAGTATTCTGAAAAGTATAATCTTCATGTTGTCATGGATGATCTAATCTTTCAAACTAACCAACTCAGGACATCAATTACATCAAATATTTTAGAGCTTGGTGCACTTTTAAAAAAACATTTTACATCTGATTTTGTTATAAAACTTTCTTCTGTGAAATATGTGTTACATGAGTACCCAAGTGCACTGATACCACAACAGCAGATGCCAAGTTCCCAGAAACTATGAGTTCAGTTATTCATTAATGTCCATGCATCTCCTGGGCAGTTTGTGACCTAAAAGCACTCTTTAGAACTATTTGTGTTTGATTGTTGTTCCTTATTTTCTTTAATGAAGAATATGTAACTCTGTATAAATGCATACTTGCATAAATGTTTAATCTATATCATAAACCAACACAGGAGAGTGAGAAGTCTGTACACAAGGCTGAATTCCAGAGTTTCTTTATGATGGGTTTACTGCTGAAAATGTGTTGTGATCTGTTCACATCTCAGAAATACATTTGTCATGCATCTTACAGAGGATGTGGTCACGGCATATCCTTTAACAATTGAACTGAAACCGTCTCTAAGCAGAGCAGGGCGGTAGTTGTGAGGTGATACCCATTAACAATGAAGACACATGTACATCATACCAAGAGAACTTACCAGTGTTACATTAAAAACCTTTAAGGTTGTTCAAAGATTGTCAACGATGCCTCTCGAAAAGGAATATCTGGAATGATTTCACATGCAGATATGTATATAACAGACACATCTTGTGGCTTTAGTGAGCTTTATGCTAACATAATTGAACCGATTTGTATTTCATTTAGCTGCATATTGATCACTGTTAAATCCTGTATCCACACTTCATCTTCCTGTGCAGTATTTGAAAGGAGAATTGCTCAGCGCGACATACAACATTTAGACAACACCCATATTATTCAGATTTAGCCTTTATGTTACCCCATCAGAGGAAATAGCATGAGATATACATCAGAGTGTCATTGTTTTGTAGTCAGCAATAGCTGGCTGTGATATGGTAGATTAACGCTGCACTGACAGTCAATTTAGCGATGGCTCTGAGACAATGGGCAGTCTGGGGCTTTTGGGGGACTGGAGATAAAACTTTTTTCAAATGCCAACTAGTCTGTGGCATTTATGAACGCATGATCATTTTCATATAAATGGTCACAACCTCCCTGGCCAGCCAATGGTAATTGAGGTCAGTCCGGCACAACAATGTGAGGTCAGAATCACAGGCAGTCTTGTAAGAGATTACACACTTTTCATGTTTTCAGTTTTTCATCTCACTTTGCTTTCTCAATCTACCAATAATGTCTGCCTCAATGTAAAGGTATTATTCTATAACATCTGTCAAAACAATCAAATGTAATAAAATAGTTTATGTTAAGCATGTTTTTTCTTCCCACAATGAGCCTGAATGTGAGACCACAAACGTGTTTAATGTGTTTAAAGACCCGGGCCCTGAGTGGGAGGTCTTCCCATTAACTCAACATTATGTCTTATTAAAGGATATGTCAATTACTTAGGCCTAAATGTACACACAATATTTCTACAGTGGGGGACTAACAATTCTTTCATTTGCTGCGTCTCATCATGGGTATTAATGCTGAGATTACTGCGAATTATCCAGTGCTCTTTATAACATTTGGTCAGAGCTACTCAGAGCAGCAGGAAGAGCTGTGCCAGTGCATTTTCTTCTCTGTAATTTCCACACTTTTCTCATAATTATATCTGTAACGCCATGCATGAAACTCGTTCGAATTACGGTTTGTCTCATTGTCTGACATTATTCCTCTCAGACATTTTTAGATTTTTCTAATAGACAAGATACTGACAATGTGATGAGATTTGATTTTACAAAGTGAACATGGTGCGCTGTGAGAGGGTACAAGTTCATTTCCAAAATAAAATCATTTGTCACATATTTTTGCCTCTCATTTATGGATTACCCTTTACGTATTCTATTAATACTTTTATTTTCTTGTCACTTTTTGTTATAAAAAATATATACCCTTGTATTTTTCCTGCTGGTTCATCATTGCCCTATGCTTATCAGAGAGTAAATATTAAACTCCAACGTGACTACTAACAGTAGGTGGCAGGAGTGTCTTGTATAGGACCAATCTTTTCCATTTTCCAATTCAGTCATCATGTGAAATACGCAGCCTGTACCCACATTACAAAATTAATTAAACCCAGTACAAAGTCTGTAAATGCCATTTCAAACGAATATCATGCACAGGCCTTTAGGGAATTGCGTTACAAATTGTTGCTATAAGGGCACAACTTTAACGGAAAGGGCTTCTTTTATGTGCTAGTGCTTCTATTCTTGTCCTGCTGCCAACATGTGTCACACATATCTTACAGATACAACAGAAAGGTAGCGTGTTAGAAATATAAACCAGCAGTGCAACTGATGTCTGCTCTTCCTTCTGTTGACAGCATGTGACCCTCTCATGCTTCTGGACAACATCAGAAGTGACACTAAGTGAACTTTATTTGTTAAGCGTGCAATTAGCTTACCGGCTCGGATCACACTTGTGCGTGAGGCTACTGCTTACATAAACGATGACTCACTAATGGCTGGGAATCACAAATGATTATCATGATGAAGTTAGCCTTTCACTCTGTAAACACACACTGGTTGCGGGCAACACTTAATTCTCTACTATATGTGAAGGAATCTGATTTGCCCCTGAGTGGTAGCTCTCATACGCATGCAATGGCAAAAAGAAGGTTAAACGTTTTTTAAACGTGACAATGTCCTTTTAGATATTCATCAAGTTGCTGCATTTATTTTAAATCTTTATTGTTCTAACTCCAAATTATTTGAAAACAAATTATTTCCAATGCTGGAAACCCTGGAAAAATGTAGCTGAAAATTAAGTGTTACTTTACTTAAATTTTATAAAGGAATCAGCCCAAATTATGCAATCATTTGCATAGAAATGCTATAAATAGCAAGTGAATGTCAGAAAGAAATGAGTCCTCTCAGATAAGAGGAGTCACTGAGATAACACTGGGTTATCTTTTTAGACGATATGATAATGAGTGACTGCTGATGTCAGATAGACTGAGTGGCTTTCATTACAATGATTCAGCCCACTCTATAATATGCTAATATCTATTAAGAGTGACTCTCAACATTTAAAAAGCACGTCATGCACTTTCAAAGCGTATTCAAACGTACAAGCCGTAATCTATCAAATTCAATCATTTTATTTTTTTCACACATTTTATTTTATTTTACAGCCTGTTGCATTCAAAGGTGCAGTTTCTAAAAATGCAGTGCAATGTAGAACAGCAAGTAAACAGGACAGGTTACAATATAAAACCACAGCACCATCTGCCACTGTACAACAATTTCATGTAAAGCTACATTTAGCTTGGTACATTCCTGAAAAAAAATGGGGTTGTTTATTCCCAGCCTAAAATTGGTTGTACTGTGTATCTGTTCTAGTTGTACTTAAGTAACACGATAACTGCCCTACATTCTCACAACGGTGACTACAAAAGTGATTGTGCTTCAACTTAAATACAAAAATACACATGTAATGCCACTTCAGTTCAACATGTTTTTCTTGCACATTTATTTAGTACAAACACAGTGACCTGAGATTGGGATTCACAATCTGTGACCTTCAATGGTACATGAATCGATGAATACAAACCCAGGAAAGCTACTTCTTGCTGCTACACTGTGGATTGAGTCTCAATGTAAGATACACTAATAAACACCACAACACGTGAGGGCGTCAATCCACACTAAGTGATCATGGCAAGGAATGGTGGCCGTTATGATTAAATATTTAAGTCATGCTATTTATTCATCTTTTCCTCATATCTTAGCAGTTTGAGCGGCATTAACTCAGTCGGTAGGGACTTGGCTTCTGAAACTGGAGGGTCGAGTTTTCAAGTCCCGAAAAGGACCGAGTGGGGAGTGTGGATAGTACTCAGAGAGATGCCAGTTCATCAAGGTGCTCTTGAGCAAGACATTGGCAGCCCACATGGATCCCAGGGTGGTGTAGTAGTACCTACTGCTCCTTGTACTTCTACAATGGGGCTAGTGCAAAGACAAAATATCACTCTATGTGCAGTGTACATGTGACGGTAAAAAAACTTGAAATCCTCCATTTCCATAACAAATTCTGTGACTCATTCTGTCTAATTGAGAGATAATCACTCTATTCCACCTTAACAGCTATGGGCATGTCAGCAGCTTTTTGTTTCGTGGGGGTATTCCTTCCATCTTGCTCAGTTTTCCGGGGCAGTCTGGGGCTGCCAGCAGCTTTCCGGCCTGTCTGAGGGCTGTTGGAGCCACCAGCCATTTTACGCTGAAGTAACGGGCTCTTGGTGCCTTTGGGCTTGGTTGGCGTCAACAAAGAGTCCATGATCTTTAGTGACCTCAGGCTGAGCAGACCACAGAAATAGTTACACTGGTGGTGGGAGACAAACTGCTCAAAAACTTTGGGATTCCCTTCGACAGACAGACCGTGATGCCTGCAGTGAGACACAACAGAGCCAAATGTTACAGTCGTGATCAGGATGAATGTAAATTACCTGTAAATGAGCATCAATCAGAGAAAAAACACAAACCCTGTTGATTTGATTGAAATTCCAACGTTGGTGATCTTGGTGTCAACACCTGCAAAACAACACCGCGCAATTACTTTATTTTTCTGTTGTTCAGGTGAAATATTCAAATGTGTCAGACATGAATTGTTACAGTATTACATGAGCACTGAAATGAGGTAGAAAGTTGTGTTCTCGTCTTATCATAAATATATTGCTGCATAACAAATCCTGTGTAATGGCGTTAAATATTCTCATGCCTCTTTGAGAAGGTTACATCTTAAGATCAGTACAAACATCTTAAACCCCCATGCTTCCCCTCATTGCCAAAATATTTATGGTATGGTGATTAATCCTTTAATCAATGTTGACGCTTTGCATGTTCACTGCCTCTTCAGTTCAATATGCTGCTGATTTTAACTTGGTAAATGTTTGTTGTGTTGTGTGTTGAACCAGGAGGTACATAAAGAAGGTGTTATTGTCCAAAAGCACCTTTTTTTAAACGTAAGCAAAAATGGGAAAAACTTCACGTTTCCCTAAATTCAGGTATCATCCTACCTTCAATCCGAGAGATTAGCAGATTGCCGCTGGTCCACTGAAAGATCCAGTGCTGCAGGGCACAGCACTTCTGCCCCGCCTCAGAGCCAGACTTTGTGTCTAATCTGCCTGCATCATCCAGGACAGAGTATTTCTGATAGACTCCTGTCAGGTCAGCCTCCACTGTGGCATAAGGGACAGTGTTTGCTGGTCGGTACATCAGGTAGACTGGCAGCACCCTGTGGGAAAAAGATTTAATGGTTTCTAGAGAGGCTTAATGATCCCTGTATCGTGAATAAAACTCAAGAGGATGTTAATGTTTGATGGGGAGTAAACTGATTATACTCACTCAAGTAATGGGCCAAAGTTTTCTATCACTCTTGCCTCTGCAGAGAAGATTTTGCAGTATTCACGAACCAGGTTCTGAATTTTACACTCCTGAATGCCGAACATTGGAGAATAGCCAGTACAGTAAGCTCAATGTACATCAGTATGTTTATTTAATCTATATTTGATCAGTGCCTCTGTAATCCTATGTGGGTGGCAATTAATGACACGTGACTAACTGGATTAGTCAGTTCATCAAATGAAATATGTTAAAACATTTATTAAATCAAACCTTTTTTACATACCTGCTTGACGATGTCCAGGTTCCTGTCGATAAGGCAGCTTTCTGCTTTCCCTCCATAGGCGATAGGGTTGAGCCCTTTAATTATACATGTGTTTCCAGACTCGAACACAGGCTCCAGACCATAGATGACTTTTGCCCTCCAGACTTTATGAGAACAGCCTTTACCAATATGTGATTCCTGCATCATTATACGGCCAAAGAATTTGTTACCCCAGGCGCCAGAATCAGCTACACCCTTGCTGAATATCATGGGTGTCATTTCAATTTCTTCACCAACTGCATAGAGACACATATAAGAAGAATGTTAGTCAGAAAAGCATTTGGGCTCTGACGCAGGAAAGACATGATCCAAACATGAAAAATCTCATCTTACCACCAAGGTCCTCACGTAGGGACATTCCAGCCAAGACTGCAACACAGTGAGAAAGGACACAGCATGAGACATGTTGAGTCCAAGAAATGCAAGGAAACATTTTCATTCAATGCCAAATATAAGCCAAAAGTACACACCGTCTGCACTAAGCAGAAAGTCTGTTGAGTCGGTCCCATACTCATTTATGATTGTGCAACCGTAAACACCAGAGTCTATGCATGATGCCTGAACAATGGCAAGATTGACCTGGGTTTCATCCCCTGCACTGAGAAACAAACAAACACTATTATTCTTGCTAAGACTTATCCTTTAAATCAACACAAAACAGAATCATTTTATAGGAAGTACTACATTTCTAAACATCTATTCAAATGGAAACTTACTTTCTTTGAATCTGAGCAATCCCCTCCTCATTTTTGTACCATTTGATTGTAGAGTCACTAAGTATGTTGAAGAACTGGCACCACAGTTTCAAGTGTCCCGAGGCGTCTGCAAAGCTTTCACCTCTGATCTTACGAATAACTTGAGGAGCTGCAGGGAAAAGAGACACGACACAATCAAGCAAATCACCAAGTGTGATATGTGCAATGCATATTATATTATATGGTATTCATTGCCTATGTCTCAAACTGTCGGTGACAATACTTAATGTACACCTAAAACGATACTCAAATGTGTTGACAGAAATGTTACCTTTGAATGGGTCATGCTTGTCCTTCTCTGCAGGTTTCCCATCAGTTTTCTGGGTGTGGATCTCCTCTTTAGGTGGCTGACTCGGTGCCGGCGTCTCAGATACCATCTTCCTCCTGCTCACGAGGGGGGAACGCCTCTCTGTTGGAGGCGTTTGCTCACCAGGTATCTGAAGTAGCGGTGACCGCCGTGACATGCTTGGAGACGTAGAGAGAGTCACAGGACTTACAGAAAGCCTGTTGCCCTCAGCAGGACCTTCCTTCTTCTGAGTTTGGATATCAACTGGTGCTGTTGCCTCTGATGCCTCCTCAGATTTAGTCTTGGGTACAAGGATTTTGCGTCTGGCTCCAGAGGCCAGCTCTTGAGGAGTTGCAGAAGGAATGGGAGAAACACAGTCTCTTCTCTTTAATAATGGACTAGCCTGAGGAGTTAAACTGCCCAAGGAGTCAGTCCTTCGAACTTCTTTAACCATAGAGCTATCCTGCTGAATAATGTTAATATTATTCTCTTTTGTATCTGTGCCAAGTTCACTTTTAGTAGGAACCTTTTCTACACTCTGCAAAGAACAATTTGTTGTTAACTTCGGTATAACTCCCATGTCTTTGCCGTCAACAGGTTTACCTTTGGCATTCTCCAAAACTGTTATAATCGACTCTTGGCTACTGGCCTTTGTAGGTTTCACTGCAAGTGGAGTCCCAGTTTCTAGACCTACAGTCCCGGATGCAAGTCTTTTGGTCAGTTCATCATTAGATGTCGAAAGAGGAAACTCGTGTCTGTCATTTTCACTCCCACAAACGGAAACAACTGGGCATTCTTTCAGAGGAACCAGAGTTGAAGCTGCAAGTTCCTGGCAAATGTCCATAACACTTTCATTATACTTTTCATCACTACCATGAAGTCCTGTAGTCTCTTTAGTGGTGCCAGTGTCTACAGCAGAGATAGGTGGGGTTGAAAGAGGTTTCTGTAAAGCCTGAACAGGCGGGGAAAGTTCACCTTGATTTTCTTCATTTAGTAGATTATAAATCTCCGTAAGAGTTTCCTTTATTGTTCTTAGAGGTTTATCATCATGTGTCTCACTTTTCCTGTCAGACATTGACTTCTCTACTTCTGGTTTCCTGTCCTTCTCCTTTATTTCCTCACATTTTTCAGTCACCGCTGGAGCTGCATCTTGTAAAACGCTAGCATGGACTGGTATGGTGGTCACTGAATTTGCTAATGTGGCGTCAAGAGCTTTTAATTGTGATCTCAGAAGTTCAGCTACAGATATGATTTTTGTTACAGGTTCTTGAATTTCCTGTAAATCTTTCAATTGGAGTTCTGATATATTTGCTTTTCCTGGAGTTTTTGTAAGGAGTTGGATCGCAGGCTCAATTATAAATGACTTCAAATTCTGTAATGCTGAACTAGTTTCCTCCGCCATTTTTATTAAATGCTCATTCTTCTCTGTTTCTTTATTAGATGCATCCCCAACACGGACATCAGAGTCTTTATCTGCTGCATCTTTGGGCTTTTCTGTTCCAGTGTGTTCAGTCATATGCAGAGTAGGACTTTCAGTCTCCATCTCATCTATCTTCTCATTTGGGGCCATGCTGTCAGACTGCGCCAATAACTTACCTGCCTCGTTATGTTTTACCTTCTCATCAACTTGTATCTCTGTCCCTTCAACAGTTTTTATGGCTGTATCACCTTGGCTTTGCTCGACGCTGGAAGAAACGTTACACCCTGAGGTGTTCTCACCACCACCGGTGCTTTTGAAGGGTGACTTCTGCACGTCTGTAATAAGGACTGTATGGCTTTCATTTGATCCCCTGGAATGATCCCATGTGTCCTGTGTCATTTTGCCCATTGCTACTTGAACACCACAGTGCGCGGAAGGGGTCTGGAGGTCATCTGTCGTGGTCTTTCTCTCTGATGGAGTCTTTTGTGGTCGAGGCATGTCCATCCTGTTATGTGGAAGCTCAAGGCTGACAGGTGCATCATTCCTGTTCCTCTTTGTATGGACCTGTTTAACCTTGAGGCAAAATAAAAGCAGAGATTTCCATGCTGTAAATACTTATTCTCTTATCCCCGGCTATGCAGAACATGGATAAGCACATAAAATGTTATAAACAGCAACAGCGTAACCAACAACAAATAGAGAATGGAAAGTGAAGACCTTCGAGCAAAAATAAATGTATGAGCAAAAGACATATACATCACCTGGTCTATTTGCAATGTTTACATCACTCTAAAGTTTAAGAAAATGGAATACCTTCCATGATAATGTTTATAGCTTGTTAACAAATCTTGGGACATTACTTTCTTTAAATTCACATTTTAAATATGTTCACATATCAAATGATCTTGACCCCAAATACATATACAGGACATTCACTAAAACTTGATTGAGAAAAACCGCATAGTAGTGTGCTATATTTGGTATATAATGAAACATAAGCATGTTACACAGCTCTCTTCCATACACCAGAGCCATACAACCATGTTTGTGTAGCGTCATATCCTTATAAAGACTGCATTTAAATTGAAACTCTTTTTAAATTAGCACGAGATGTTCCCTGTGTCATATGTCAGTCCTTCATGGCTGAGATAAGCTACCGTATGATATAGCTCATGGGTCTCTTTTAGGCCCTTTGTTGATTTAAAAAGCAACTGAAAAAAACCTCAAAATATGTATAACTAAAAAATTGTATGAGCTTTACAATGTCATTATAAAATTCATTAAAAAAATCTGCATCTTTTGCTTTTTTCTGATTGTCTTCCTTCCCATGCTTCAAACTAATTCTGGCACTGTGACGCCTATTCACAAGGTTGCTATTTTATGTTTAAATGTGGCCAGAAAGGAATGTGAATAATTTTAAGAGGTGCTTCAGCTGTGCAGTGTTTTTTCTCAGCTTGCAATGCCGTCAGTATTCAGCCATCAGCTGGAGTCAGTACTATTGCATAAGCAATGGAACATAAAGATTTATGATTATAGCAAAACAAGTGTTGATCTGGGATGTTGCAAAATGACCCTCCATGAGATCATGTGCTGATAGAATAATAATGAATTTAATTTAGTCACATGCACTTGCATCATCAAGCAGGTCACCACAACACCTCCATTCAATTTCACTTCAAGCTGTTAGTTGTTGGACATTTGGGGAACAACACTTATTTAAAGATCAATGCTATTCTGATTCATATCTTTAAAAGTATTTTTTTTAATATTTAAGATTTGTTTTATGTAAAGACTTCAGCCAGCAGCTGCTAGCTTAGCCTAGCCTTAGCAGCTGCTGGCAAAATGCCATTTGATTCACATCATTTGTAATAAGGCACTGAATCTTGACAGAAGTTATCTCAGTTCCATTTCCATATAAGACAAATCTATCAAAACCTCTAAAGCTCATAGACCACGGTAAAAAAACTAAATGACCTTATGACACAGCCAGACTAGATGTCCCGTTTTTAGTAATTATGCTAAATTAAGCTAACTTCTGCTAGCTGTTATCTAATGCTTTAGATTTAACGGACATACATTATTACATTACATTTCATTTCATTTAGCTGACGCTTTTATCCAAAGTTCAAGTTATTAATCATCTCATCTTATTCAATGCAAGAAAGCAAATAACCGTATTTCCCAAAATGTTAACATATTACTTAAGAAAAAATCTGCTTATTAATGTTCAAAATATATCCTATATCCTAAGAAATGCTGCAACTGTCCAAACTTTCACTAACAATATAAATTGCAACACATTACCTGTTGCAACTGTCAACATGTGCGTCATTTAATTCTTGTCACACAGCAGGGCATATTTGTAAAAGCTATAAATAGCTACTGATGAGGCCTGTGTTGGCAGCACAAAGCACTCATGAGCTCATGCAAAAAGCCTCACTCACCTCATTCAGCTGCGCTGGCTGAGACACAGACACATTTTTCTGGCAGGGGCCTGTTTCTTTCAGAGACTGCTTATCTCCAGCCTGTTCACATGGACGCTGAGGTGAAGCAGACGTGCTTTCACACGGTGCGTTTATGGCCTCAATCTCTTTACGTGCTAAAGATCCAGCAATGGAAGTGTTTGACTTCTTGTCAACATCCATGACTGTTTGAGGTTCTATTTTAGACATATTCCCCTTAACTAAGTTTCTATGTTTTCGGGGAGGTGCTGTAGGACTTGACTGTCTCTGTTTTGAGGTGATGGGAGGAATTCGCTTTTGCATTTCCAATATTTTTTCTGGATTGTTGCGTCCAGCTTCCTTCTCAAGCTTTGCATCTTTTTTGCCTTTAGCTCCAGACATATTGTGACCTGTAGATGTAGGAGCAGCTGGAGGTACAGAGGCAGTAAGCTGTTCCTTCTTTAGAAGACACAGCTGTTCCTTCTTTGAAGGCACAGCTACCTCAACGCGTACGCTTTCATTCTTTGAATGCCTGTCAGCAAGCAATACTTCCTCTGATTTCTGATGTCCCTGTGCCATCTTTCTAGGGACTGAATCCACAACTGATGAACTAACAATGTTTTCTACTTCCATGAACTCTTCTGAAATCCCCTTAAACTGCACTGACTCTGTGCAGGCCAGAACTACAGGGGTAATGTTCTCCTCCTTTGCGGTTCTCTCCTCAGGTGCCCGCTCTTCTTGTGCGCTGTTGGACATTTTAATCTTCTTCCTGACAAAGGGAGTTTTTGTCTGCTGTGCTGTAAAACTCTTCTGAGCAGAGTCATAAATGTTTGTCCCACTCTTGTTACCGTTTTCACTGACGGTCTGTCCATTGGATACAGCAGACACTGTGCCATTAGTGATGGGGACTGATTTTTCCTCCATCTCCTTCACAGTTGCCTCATGTAACCTGGTCTCAGTCTGTTCAGTTAGAGCCTGTTTGCTCTCCTCATTGCCCTCATCCTCCAAGGAGCTTGGCGTGCTGAGAAAGGTGTCCATTGTGGAGCGGCGCTTCCTCGGTGTACGGTCTGGACTGATGGTTCGAATCGGCTCCTGGTTTTCTTTACCTTCCACTTCCTTGCGTTTGTTGTCGGCCTTTTGCTTGATCTTGGCAAAGTAGCGCTGGTGGATCTTGTACTCGTTCATTTCGCCCACCTCCAGAACCCCAGAGCAGGACACAATGCCTTTAGTGTTGCTGGCTGAGGCCTGGTATATGGCTGCGTCCTCCACAGTGCAACTGCAAAGAAAAGCCCATTTAAATTGCATTATATTGAGCAATTTGGTCCCGGCAAGAAAGCAAAGTAAACATTGCTGACGAGGTAAAATTGCAGTATTAGCCAAGCTCTTGTCAGGGGATAAGCTATTCATTAAAAGTCGTACTAAATTTGGGCAAGACTACTTCATCACAGAAAGATAAAGATAAAACACTATGTGCTACAAACTTTTCTTTACAATGAGGGCTATTTTTTTTTAATATATAAGGATATATAGTGAATTTTTTTTTTTCACACAAATCTTAACAGCCACTTTGCAATGTTATACATTTCTTTATTTGAAGTTGGTTGAGGCTAATACAGTTTTGATATGAAATCAGTGTTTCCAAACATACATACTTGTAAATGTGTAGGGAATAGTTTTTTCCATTGCGGAATATTTCATATTTAGGAAGTCCACAGTATCTGTCTAACTGCACATCATCCTTATACCAAGTAATTTGAGGAGTAGGGTTTCCTGAAGAAAAAAAAGAAAAAGGAATTAAAACAAATGATTTCTTAACAATTTCTGTAAAAACCAAACATGTAGCGGATAGTTTCCATTGCTTTAAATGCAGTATAAATCGAGAAATAATATGTCTTGAAAATGTTTTAGGTGCTAAAGATGAATGACACAATGCATATAGAGGATTACAATATTGTTGTTGTTGTTGTTGTTGAATTATCGTTGTATTATTGTAGGTTCCTGTTACATATTCTTAGATTATGAAGAGTCATGTAGTTATGTAAAGTCTTGCAAAGTGTATGAGTGAAGCTGTGTTTACCTGTCACCACACAAGAGAACTTCACATTGCATTTCTCGGACACGGCTTTTGACTTGAGGGTCAATTCGAAGGAGGGCTGTGTTTCCTCAGTTAACTGTGCCATCATACTGCAGAGCGTGCTCCTGTGAAAGACAAAAGAGATGGTCAGTAAAGCTGGAATTCTGTTTATTTCATGTTAATATTATTACATACATCTTTGATTATTGTTATGTGGTTTTTTCTGTGTTCAGAATTAAGGGCAACAGTATTGGTTGGAGTGATTTATGAGGTTGTCTTAGTTTAACCCTAACAACCACTTCAGAAAAACATGCAGTACTTCTGAAGTTTATTTAAGGACCAAATGAGTCAAACATTAAACAAATATATTTTAAAACAAACATGCAACATAGTCACATCACCCACAGTCCAAAAAAAGGATGATAACAAATGTTTTGAGCCGCTTCACAAGAGAATTGACATTTTGGATTGGGAAAATGGTGGTTATAGCCTTGTGGAGCTAGTTTATTAGGACTGAACATAATTAAAAGAGAAGGAAACAGATTGTAAATTCTGATTGTATTTAAACATCTGGAGATTTGAATCCCCACCTTGCTAATGGTAGTTTTATGTATCTAAATAAGTGCTGAAGAAAGTGTAATGTATGCCTCAAATCACATCCTTAACAAAAACTTAGATTCCTATATCCTACACATTTTTTTAAACAGGTCACATAAAAGGCATATCTTACACAGATCACATAAAAAGGAAATTAACAAGGGAAAACATTTCTTGTGACCTCTGCAGTTCAATACAAATGTGTGGTGTGTCCCAACCCTTGGATGCATAAGTGGGTCTTTGTTGACCCGGTGAAGTGGTTTTCTTGAAGTATCTTTGTAATTACATTTTTTAATCATTTCATATTCCAGCTATTCTTCAAAAAACATGTTTTGGATATCATGCCATTCAAATTTTTAATTTACATTTTAAGAAATTGTAGTTTTTGTATTTCTACCCCAAGCTTCCATAAGTGGGTCAAAAATGACCCGCATGCATTTCCTATGGGAAAACTTTTTATATATATAAATAGTGAAAAATTAAATATAAAATATTTCTAGTGTGAACCAAAATATAATACTAAATATTATACAAGTAATTTTTCTTAACCAAAATGACAAAAATGGCATAAAAACACATATTATTCTAATACGGGTCCTTTTTGACCCACATATGGAAGAGTGTAGGGTCCAGTCACTCGTGCATCTAAGGGTTAAAGAGGTCTACTAATATGATATTAATCATAAAAATTAAACACATCACCATAAATAGAATGGTTCAAGAATACTTAGCCATCACGGAATATGTGTGAGAAATGTCAAAAAAACACATAATAATTGTAATTAATGTTGGCTTGCATGCCTATTATAAGAGCCGTATCGTGCTGCTTGTGTACAGGACGTGCAGTTGATCCATGTCTGATGTTGACATCCATTTCCTTGTTGGGTTATTGCACGGTTACTGTTACACACTTCACTGCATATTCTTGTGATTAAGCAAACAAAACAAGACACTAATCCTAAATACTGCCACACTTAAAGAATATACCACGCATAAGGCATGGGCTTCATAACTACTGTTGTTTATATTGTTGGAAATGTAATGTTACGAATACAAATGCTACAGTAATTTAGCTTTTGGCATTTCATTCTTAATTTTTTTTTTTATCCTGGAAACAGACCCCTGTCCATTACCTTACAATTATTTTCATGTTTACATTTTCAGTGATATAACACTCCCAGGTTTTGTGTATTTGACCCAAGTCGTTGTACTAATAGTCTAGTTATCTATATTTTTCTAGAATCCAATAATTTTGCACATTATCTTTCTCCTAAATAGCTTGAGGAAAATATCTTAAAGAGTAAAATCCTGACAGTATAAACCCCTTTTTGTATTGACTATTGTTACTTTGGAAGGATTACTGTAAGGGCTGCCCTGTGACAGTGGCTAGAAGGAAAACTATTATTATTCTTAACTCAAAATACTGTTTATAGCATATTTCTATGACCTGAAGTACAGGTAAAGGTAAACACGAAGGTTACCACATCTTGTTCCATGAACTAATCTTTCCACGTAGAAGCTGCTGTTAGTGTACTGCTTGATGTGAAATGGGGCCCGTGATGCATAACTCAGATGCTGTTCTTAATCAACAGTTTATTTAAACTCCAGTGACCCATGGCAACAAACACAATAATAATATGGCACACAGGTCAATGTCAAGTCTTGAAGTAGGAGAAGCATGGTGCCTGCTGTGGTGGTTTCAACAGGTAGCACTCTGGGTTAGCGTTGAGTCTGTACCTGTTCTCCGGCCTGACGTTAGAGAGGTAGCTGCAGCCGTTAGGCCGGCTATTCGCTCTCATATCCTCCCCACTGCTGGATCTTCCACTGCCAAAAGAGGCGCGTGCTGTTGTCCTCCGTGAGCCCATTTTCCACTAGATAAAGAAATACTCAAGGGGGGGAAAAAAGTTCTCCAAGAGAAAAAAAGTTAGGCTTGTCCCTTATTTATTGGCTTTCCACAGAGATCTGAAAGAGAACAACGAGTACATGAAGACTTTAGCTTGACATACAACAAACAGAAAGTTATGTTAAATAAATTAGAATTAGTTTCAAAATAAAGAATTTTTTATAGTTTGAGGATGAAAACACAAACATCAGCAAGTAATGCTCTCTCTTTTGTACATGCTGTCCTATACAGTATTTACATACAGTCAGTTTTGTTCAGTAAACTCACCATTCACAAGTTTCTCTCCCTCCTTTGACAGATACCCCACAGCTCTGACTTAAGGCGCTGCAATTTCCAATCAAACATGAGCATGCGTAGGCTGCTGGACTATTTATAGTCGGCCTGCAAATAGGCACAAGAGCACATCAGCCTTTCCAAAACTTTTTCTAAGGACCATTTCATAGAAGAGCAAACAATGTGCCAGCACAAAACAATAAAATAAAATAACATGTAAAGGTCTGTAAGAGGAAAAACATTTTTGAATGAAGGAAAAAAACAAAGAAATGTCACAAGGTCATCCAAGGTTTGGTAGTTCCCCGGATAGGAGGAGAGGATTTAAAAACAGGGTGAAGGGGTTTTTTCTTTTTTCTTTTCAAAGGATTACATGCCTTCAGAGAATAGAGGGTCCACTTGTTTTGTCAGTGGCTTTCTGCTCTTCTCCTTCAACTTTAAGCTTTGTTAACTGGCTGTAGAAAAACTAATCATATGTGTTTTTCATAAAGGAAAATATTGCCTTCACTTTTAAGTCCCTTCATATGAGCAGTGCATAAAACTATGGAGTGACTTTTACTTCTATTTGCACCTTTCTTTCCCCTTTGTTCTTTAGCATGATGTCATTTTCAAACAGATAGAGGATGTTGAAAGTGCGTTTGCATAATAAAATATGAGATGGTTAAGCCCACCAAGCTCTCTGGCATGCATTGTCCACTGAGCGACAATTGCATTAGATCCCCAGAGGAAAAGCAGTAGGAATAGAACAGCCTTATATAGGCAGATCCCACTGACTGCCAAAGAGCTATGGGTTCTTATCTTAACACAAGCACGCACACACACACTTGCACATACAGTGTTTCACAGACACATTCACATAATAATGATTAGCAATTTAATTAGCTACATTTTTGTTTCTTGTCCAACAAATCAAAATTCCGTGAAAAGTCAAATAAGACCTAAAATCCTCAGAATTCACATTTATTATCACCTTTTTCATGCAAGGTAAACAAACTGCAAACACTCCTCTGTGAACTGATAGTAAATTACTCTACTAGCATAAATTACGACTTCCTGAGTGTGTTTCCCCTAAACCGTTCAGAGCTATCAAGTTACATACACTCCTCATGTTACACATGCCGATGTGACTTCTGTTTAGCTATTTAGATGTTTTGATCCATCCATCGCGATGCTCAGAAGCTCCCCACTCTTTCCACTTTTCTTGCCAGGAGGGGACAAACTCAACTTTACGACCAAGATTAAATGAAGAATTTTATTTCAAAACAAGAGAATATTTATGTCCTCTAATGACATTGGTGTGGGCGTAGCCTAATGTTTCTGTTTGAACAATATCTCTTTACAACCTGGAGAAGTTATACAAGTTTTAAAAGAGAACATTTCTTACCAAATAGGCCTGATTTATAAATGAGGGGCCTTTAAATCCCAAACATGGACACACAGTAGGGCATTTAAATGGATGGATTCCTTGACATGATCTCATCTCAACACACCCACACACACATGCCAAGTGCAGTGATAGACGTGTGTGTGTGTGTGTGTGTGTGTATGTGTGTGTGTGTGTGTGTGTGTGTGTGTGTGTGTGTGTGTGTGTGTGTGTGTGTGTGTGTGTGTGTGTGTGTGTGTGTGTGTGTGTGTGTGTGTGTGTGTGTGTGTGTGTGTGTGGAGAACAGTTGCCTCAGCAGGGTCAGGGTGTTCTGGACGGGGTGTGTAGAAAGATCAAGGCACAGCAGGGTGTGGAAACACGACAGAGGGCGGCTCTGTCGTGTGACTCTACGTCAGTGAATCCTCCTTAAGCATGTGGCTCTCCCGCGGAGGGGTTTCCTAATGCTGAGCCATATTTAGGAGATTACAGAACATTTGCAATTACGTTGGCAGAATCTCAATAAACAACTAAAACACGAAAATAAAAATAAAATATTCCTCAGTTGTTTGCCATTAGGACACATACTGAAAATACAAATAGCCAAGAAAATGTTTTCTATCAGCTGTGACCATTTCAAATGAAAGTCTCTTTAAATAGCCCCTTCACTCCACTCAGGCGCCTTATCTTAGTCCTTTTCCCTAGGTCCCCTCCCAAGAATCAAGGCTGCTTTTTAGGACATTCTGTTAGATAATGTTGGGTATCACTGTTTGTGATTTACTTTGTTGAAGAACAAACTTCTTATGAGCTTTATTATTGTCACTTGGTCACTTTAAGATGTTATTGTAAGATGCAGTTAATGTCTATGTTGACCAAAGAGACATTTCAACTGTATGCAAACATAATGCACAATAAAGTAATCTGAATTGATAGACAAAATGTGGCTTTTCCATAAGGTTTTGTTTCCACAAATGTTTGCCAACCACGTCATGGCATGCTCCCTTTCCCTAAAATAAATAATTATGTCAATGATTCAACGATTCATGTCCAAATCTGAATTCACCCGGGGTCTTTGGGCGGCAAGATTTCAACAGTGGGTTGCCCATTGCCTCATGGCTAGCTATGTATAGAGCCTTTTAAACTCCTGTTGTGGCTTAGTCTGGCAGATTTATGAGGCTACAGATGATGCTCACTGAGATCACTACCTCTGGCTTTGTTGATACCATTATCTGTCTTTTGCCAACATAATTGTTCACTGCCAGGTTGAAGGGTGTCACTGGTGGGCAAATGTAAATTGTTATAATCAGTCATTAGAGCCTGAGTGGTAATGGATAAGCCCAGTCCTACCGGACTGTTGTTGAGGAAGTGTGAAGAGATGTGTGTGCGTGCGTGTGTGTGTGTGTGTGCGTCGGAGAGGAGATAGGGACAGACCAAAAGGTATGAAGCAGTTTGGACAACTGTCAGCTCTTCAGTTTCACTGCGGCATTTATTTATCAGCTCCATAGAAGTCCAATAAATAGTGACCTTTCAGCATGTGCTCATGAACCTTCACTCACAACATCCTCTTGTCCCTCTCACTATCTCCATTTATAATGTCATTCTACGGCTAAATTAGAATGTGTTTTTTCATAAATCAGGCTGATTCAGAGAACACCTGCGTTCAGCCTCCAGCAAAAAATATTCAATGTCAATGTAGTTCAATGTTTCTGTGCAATTAAACAGTAGCATAATTGTTGTCATGATCAGGCGCTGAATGTGACTCATCACCAGGTAAAGTGGCCTCAAAACAGGTAGTCGTGTTTCCACTGATGAGCTCTTTCAGGACTGACATTCAAGCATAAAATATAATTGGAAATTATGGACATGTCCACTAGTGGCTGGGTATAGTTTTAAACATTATGATACTGATACCAAAACCAGTTTCAGTTTACAATAGAGTAGCCTTCTTCATTCGATACCTTGAGAATTGCCAACTCCACTCCTCCCCCAAGTGTTGAATTTATGAAAATATTAAGTATACAAAACTATAAAATTAAGGTTTATGTAGTGTATATTTAAACATGTTGTATCTACTGCTATAATGAGCCAATGAAACTTTGCAATAAATCTAAAAACGCTCTCAGTGATTGGCAGTGAGCAAATCCATTCAAATCCAGACTTTTCTTTAGACCTGGATACAAAAAGGATCATATGCAGGTTTCCCTTGACTGCAGAAGTTCCAATAATACTTTGTGATGGTTTATTTTGGTCGATACTTTGAGGTGTCAAATACTGATATCCAGTCCTATCTGCGGTCGTGGTGATCTTCAGAAAATGCTTTATGAGGTGACAAACTAATTGAGTGAGTAGTAGCCAATACTGAGTGTGTTCTGTTGGCTAATCCTGCATTATGTGTTAATGAATGCTCCTAATGAACCTGCCATGTTGTCAAGGCCGAAGGTTTGTAAACACTGAAAGATGGATTTTTTTCTCCAATCTAGCAAACTTGGTATTGTAGAAAGTGTGAATTATCTGTTGGATGTTGCTGCTCGTGAAGCAGATAAACTCCTGAAATAAATTAAGCTCCATGTAACGGCAGCTGCCAGGGAACATGCTGTTCAAATCCAACTGGGATATTAAGGTACGGAGATCCAAGATGGTGTGAGAGGTGAGATGTCAACACGGAGGGGCACAGCGGTCGGCAAACTGCGGTGGAGGGACATATAAAAGGGATTTTGATTATATAGATAACATTTTCTGGGGCTTGGGACAACTTAACATGTTTATAGCACCACAAATATAATACATAATAGTATACTGACTTCACGACTATTGTCCCTGAAAAATATCAAATAACAATATATAATTGATGGGATGTTGATTTCTGTTCAGACCTGTTATTTGGGAGTTTATTGGCAGGGTGGCCCGGTGCCAAGTGTACCCCCACATGCATGCCAGTTGGACAGCAGCTTGTTTTGATGTTTGACAGGTCTCTGTGGAAACTGAGCTTGGCTTTGTACGGCGGTCTGGCCCGCTGCTGAGGCTGTGACATCATCTTCTGGATATTCACACCAGTGTCAGCTCCAAGGAAGCAGAAATAAGAGACGACTTGACCTCCGAGGACAGCTGTGTGACTGTGACACACACACACACACACACACACACACACACACACACACACACACACACACACACACACACACACACACACACACACACACACACACACACACACACACACACACACACACACACACACACACACACACACACACACACACACACACACACACACACACACACACACACACACACACACACACACACACACACACACACACACACACACACACACACACACACACACACACACACACACACACACACACACACACACACACACACAGTAAACATACAGTATGTTGCCTATATTGATTAATGAGCCTTGGTTAACATTGCAGTATACTCATGATTAGACAGTCTTTGGTATCAAAAGGATAAATTAAGTTGTTTATGTATTTAATTCAACATTTTAGGAATAAAGAAAATGTGTTTTAATTGAAATCAATGCACTCTTAAATAAAATGTTACTTTACCTAAAGGAGATAATTAAAACTAGAAAGTATTTAAAATGCAAAATGTTGCAAAAATAATAGTTTTCTTACATGCATTTAATATTATTTTTTGCAGTGTTGACCTGACCCCTGTGGCTTAGTGGCTGATTATCTAATATTTTTAAACTCAGATTTAAGTCACTTCGAATTGGCCAGTTCACTAAATGAATGATATACAGTTGTACTACCTAAAGTAACAAAAACAATCAGCAGTGGAGTTATAGTGTCCTCTAGTGGTAATAGTGAGAGCTCCAAAACACCACCGGCTTGGGTTGAATTCTGCCATTCGCTGCTATAATTAAAAAAGACAAGAGATATGTTTTCAATTTTCACTATATTGCAGGAAAGACTACTGAACATGAACGTTAAGTGATGACAGAGAAACTGATCATATTAAGCTGTAAACAGGGCCATTGAAAAAAATCACAACAATTGTGACAAAAACTATATTTTGTATGAATTTATTTATATTGGATATAAAAAAACTAACCATAAAAAAAGAAAGACTCAATCTTTAAGGTGCAACAGTACTTGTGCTGAAGATACAACCCGATTTCTTTACAAATCTGTAGTCTTCATACAAGATGAGACCATAAATCCTTATACATTTGACCTCAATCTCCATGCAAGAAATATTTTTTTTAGTATACCAAATATTGGCATAGATACAATATAAAACAGTAACTAGTTAAAGGAGAAGAAATAGACAAAGTACACTGTCTGTATACACAAAAAAGTGTCCCAAGCTTTCAGCCCACACAATGCGGTATAACTATAGCTTCTTTTGTGTACCATTATTATTTTTTGTCTTTCTTTTGCAGCATGTCAATGACGGATTTAGCCTTTCGCTTGACACCTAGAAGAAAAGAATAAAGAGAAGAATTGAAGAGACAGGACATTATGTAAACATGACTAACGGCTAAAGAGTGAAACCCCTGAGACAAGTACACATTTCTTGCAGTACCTTGCTTTTTGCTGGGTGATTCGTTTGGTGATTCAGCAGAATCTGCGGATCTCTTAGCATAAGCTAACTTCATCCTCTGGATGTTCTTCTTGCTGATCACTTCATGCTGTACAATAGGTTGCGGGTAGTCTTTACCCACAATGCAACCTGCTGCCTGCTGGACACTGCGCGGAGCCTTCCAAGGCTCGTAGATATACTGGGCTGGGAACTTCTTCAGAAGAGGAAGGTACTTTCTATCAAGTAGAGGGAAGGTAAAATCAATCACTATAATTTGTGACAATTTAAGTTTGTTTGGTTTTGTGGTCTTACTTGATGTAATCTCCATTTTTGTCTGTCTTCTTGCCAAATGCGACAGGGGAGTAAACTCTGAAGTACTGGTGGAAGAAGGCACTCGCTGAGAGCCACTGCCAGTTTCCAGCATTCAGGGCCCAGTCGCCATCCAATAAAAGATACTCAAACACCTTCAGGAGCCGTGAACAAAATGTGAAAAGATAAACTCAGCAGATTTAGCATTGCACTTTACATCACTCTTTGAAAAATATGAATTAATACGTTTTGAAAAACATGTATTTACCTCGATAGGTTTGCTGTCGAGTCTATGTATTGATTGCATAATAAAGACACAAAATGAACCCCATAAAACCGACCCTACATAGTTTTATAGTCATGCAGCAGTCCCAAAACTGTAAACAGACTTTGATGTGTAACATTTTTTAATAGGCAGGAAAACGTAATCTGATAATGATAAAATCCTGTATATGATAAACAAAGATTGATGATTTCAAGTATTAATCTTTACATCTGTACTTTGCAGTATGTTGCAGTGCCAAACGGCTTTATAACATATCTAAAGGTTGGTCCAGTTCTCTTTTGAAAAGCCATGTCATCGGAAAATATAGTGAGGTTATAACCTCTATTTTGTGAACTGCACATGGTAACACAGGACTCTATGGATTGTGTGCTCCGTGCATTATCTAACATACAGAAGCAATAGAGACTTTAAATATTTACACACCTTCTGCCCTTCTTCCCAGTTGATCCACAAGTCTCCCCTGGTGAGAAAACAGGCGACAGCATGTCTGGCCAGGTGGTGGATCCAGCCCTCCTGCCTCAGCTGAGTCATGATGGCGTCAATGAAAGGGAGACCAGTCCGAGCCTAACAGGACATACAGAGCACCCAGGAAACATTGATGATCCAGGAAATAAGCTATGCTTCTGAATTATCATGAAAACTGTTCTGTATAATTTCCCATTTGTCATTCATGTCCATTTAAATACAGTCTTATTACCTCTCTCCATGCAGCAAGATATTCAGGGTTTGTGTCCCAATCCACCTGGGTACATACGGGGTTGCCCTCCATCTTGTCAAAGTTAGGGATACCCACACCAGCGGCGTAGTAAAACTCTCTCCACAGCAGCTGGCCATGCAGGGAAACTGGAGGCTCCGAGTGCTTCTTCTGCAAATAACACATATACATAACAGTCAGACTAATTTTACCTTTAAATGTCAAAATTAGGGCCATGCATCAATACTTAAACTTGTTGTAACACATGTTCTGGTACAGCGTAGCATCTTGCTAATTTGTTTAAATGTAAGAAACCTTCAGTTGCACAGCCTTACTCATTCAGTAGCATACTACCTACAAAAACTCTACCTCCATGGTGACACTCACCCCCTGATAGACTTCTGTCACCCGCCACCAGAAGGTGCGTGCAGACAGGCAGCCAAACGTGACGTATGGACTGAGGACCGTGGTGCTGGGGCTCAGAGAGTTTGGAGAAGTCTGCGGCTTCTCAAACTTACACACCCAATCCTGGAGTAAGAAAACAGATGAAGCAATGTGAATCAGATGGAGCTAATGCAACCAGTATTCCCCTTATGTTCATAAAGGATTGTATTAACAATGAATCATACAAACATACAAAGTTTTGGAGCTAAAAAGGTTGAAAATGTCATTCAGAAAAACTGTCCAAAGAGTCTCACAAGAACATGTTATTTATAATATAATATAAATCAACATAAGATTTAACAACATTACAAACCATTATCATTCTTCGACACAGTTTTCTGTAAAAGGAGCGGTGGTGGAATTTAACTAAGAACATTTACTCAAGTAATTTGATAACTTATACTTGAGTACAATAACCTGATAATACTAAACTAACATTTTCAACTCAGGACTTTTACTTGCAAGTTAAACTGTGGTATAAGTACTTTCACTTCAAGGATCTCAGTACTTTCCCCACTGAAAAGGAGCCCTAAACAACTCTACAGATGCTATATAGGTTGTTGTCATAATATTTATTTCTGAAAAATACTTTAATCAAGTGTAAAAATACTCTCTAAAATGAACATGTTATACTCAGTAGAGAGTCTCAGTGTCAAAAGCCCTTCAGTTGTGCCCAAAAAATAATAATTCAAACTAAAATACCTTTCTTGCCATGTTTTCGTCTAATCTCCTCAGAGCCTCCTGTTCTCCTCCCGGGAACTTCTCCTCTCCCAGAGTTGTGGTGTCATGACCGAGATCCTCAAGAGTAGGTATCCCATAATTCTTGTCATGGTTTTCTGAACAAGGCGTCTTCACATCTGTGACAAGAGAAATTATATTTTAATCAACCACTGCTCAAGTTTAACAGCTGTATGTTAGCTTTAAATGTTTTTGAATGCTGAATGGTTTACTGTTTATTTCTATGAAGACATTATAACAATTCACTGGCATGACGCACTGTAGTTCGTAGTACCTTTAGTGTCTTCGATAGCTGGTGCAGGGATGGGTTTCTTAGGGTTACCTATAGTCTTCAATATTGTTCGAAAACGGTTATAAGTAAGGGGGGCCTTCCCATTGTTTTCCTCAATTATCCTATAAAGACATGACAGACAATAATAAGGACATTAACCTGAAATCGGACATTTAAGAAGTAAAAACTGTAAGGAAACAATTTGTGATCTCCCCAAGATGTGTACATTTTCAACATGATTAATACCTGTCCATATCATGAATAGTGTGTGAGATTTTGTAGACGACTTCAACTCCATGTTCTTTGGCCAGTGTGGTCACCGTTTTGTCCCGGCTCAGGCTGTAGGGCTCTGTGTCGTACTCATAGGTTAACTTTGTGACTTTCCACTTCTCAAACAGCTTGGGGAACACTTCCTCTGGCTTCCCTCGCACAACAAACAGCCTAAAGGAGTCAAACACACCAATATATGACAACATAACAATAAGTGTATGTGTTTTAATTCATATTTGTGAGACTGTTGCCCTTTTGTCTCTACCTGGAGTTGAGTTTCCTGAGGCTGCAGTCCAGGTCTTTGAGGCATCCAATGAGAAACCTCCAGCGGTTGATACCCACAAGGGTGTTGTTATAAAGGTAAGGGTCCAGGATGAACACAGGGTACAGCTCCTTACAGTCCCTCAGAGCAGCCATCAGAGCTGGGTTGTCATGCAGCCTGAGTCCCTTGCGGAACCAGTGAATACAAGTATGAGCCATGCCTGTGAACACATAGGAGGCAGACATTTCTTTAGACTTTTTTATTTTATTGCACTGAGCCCTGAAGGTGAAATGTGGGTAGCTACACAGACATTATATGCAAAAAGTAAACTGGGGGCTAAGCTAGCAGCTTTACAAGTAAGTCTAAAACAAACTGCAGTAGTATTTGCATGTTTGTATAGTAGCAATTCTGGCAAATGTAACATAATTAGCTTAAAAGTACATTTATTTTCACAAATTTGCTTGAAATGTAGTCGTGTGGTGATGTGGAATATCTCGACCTAAAATTAAATGCATTCAGCTGTTTTGAACAATAGGAAGACACAGTTGCAGAATAATTTCATAGATGTGTCGACACAGAACTAATACAACTAACGCATAATATGATAACAACTGTCTAAGTGTCCAACATGTACATGGAAGAGTTGGAGCCACATGATGCACAGTTTTGTGAAACGTTACCGTAATTGTGACTCAAAACAGTTACAATCCGCTTGGTTTATTGAGAGGTCTGCGTTTGGTAACCAGCACGTTTATTTGTTTTATAAAACCGGAAGCTCTGCAACGTCTGCAGCTAAATCAGCCAATCAGATGAAAGAAACGCGAGGCCCCTTGCAAACAAGACGAGCACGTGCATGTCACCTCGATTAAAATATGTTTTTTTAAAGGCGGCCGAGGCTAGATTATTGAATGAAATTGTACAAGCGATGTGTTTTTCACGTTTTACAATCAATAAGAGATGAATAAAAAGTCGTACAAGGGAAGAAAAAAACAATAATGACACGCTCTCTACGTCATCCAGCAGCCCCGCTCAGATCCCGCTCAACACATCGAGTTTTCACTCTGAGAATTCCGCCAGCTCATCGTAGCTCGCCGTGATCGTATAGTGGTTAGTACTCTGCGTTGTGGCCGCAGCAACCCCGGTTCGAATCCGGGTCACGGCATTGCGGTAACAATGTCACGGCAGATGGGCTGTATTTTGAAAAACATTTAGTTGTGAATGTACGAAATAAGAACTTTTTTTTCTCCATGGACATATGTTAAACATTAAAAACAAGCATGGTGTTATCAGTGGTACAAATATGTAACTCTGTAACAAATATGTAAATATTTACTCTCAAGTAGTGAACTGTAGCCGTTACATGTCGATTCTTGTTATAGGCTACTGCTTTAAAATAATAACTTTTTAAGAAATCATAATTGTATGTATTTTTTACATTTATCTGACAGAACTCCAAATCGCCGTTCAGCTACTTGTAACTGTCTTTATGGGTTAAGAAATAAATACATCGAAATACAAACATTGTATTGGCTGGAAAACGCATCTTGTCAACGCTTAAAACAAGGCTGTTTCCCCGCAGAATAATAATGATTGTATACGTTTCTGTACTGATGTGTAGATTAAGTGTTCACCATGCAGGAGTTAACATACATCTACCGCGGGAAACATGTCCTACACACCATAATTGGCTAATCCAAAACATAATAGTAAAACACTAAAAAGGATACTTTCCCTGCACCATATCGCCTTACACACTTTCTTATAGACCTTCTTCTTTACATTTAGCTAACAAAAGGCCAACTCACATAATGCATATTTTGCTACAGTAAGGCCTGCCTTTTTAATTTAATGGACTATGTTTCTGAAGAATGGTACAACGATCTGAATATTTGACATAGCACTTTGTTTTTTCTCCCACTTCCTTGTCTTACCGTAAAGCCCCCCCAGAGGGAGACACAACAGTAAGGGTAACTGGAAGACCACACTTTTAAAAAGTTACTCTTAGAACAAAACTTGTATTTGCAGTAATCAAATAAGTAGTCTCATAAAAGCACTTACATGAAATGACCCAAGCACTGTTGTCATGGGGTTTTTGCATGTAACTGTAACCTTTTAAGCAAAGCATTAAATCCCCATTATTAATCAATCTATGCTTTTTACTTTACTCGGTAGATTTGTGAACGTTTTTATTGTCATTACTTTAATAAAAGCAATATATTTCGATGTCAAATGGACTTTAATGTTAATCTTACTCCGTTTACATGAGACCTACTCATGGAGCCTTCTGCCTGCACCACCACTATGATCACGTTTTCGCCGGATCATTGCCATCAGCCCATCGTAGCTCGCCGTGATCGTATAGTGGTTAGTACTCTGCGTTGTGGCCGCAGCAACCCCGGTTCGAATCCGGGTCACGGCATTGCGGTAACAATGTCACGGCAGATGGGTTGTCTTTTAAAAAGATTACTAATGTACGTTGGTGTGTACTGGAGTAAAACGGAATCATAATTTTTTCTGCATTTACAGATTTTTTTACATTAAAAAAAAAAAAAAAAGTATGGTGGTTTGATTGGTGGGATTTAAGCAGCGTTAGATATGTATGGTGGCCGGCAGGTGCAAACGCATTACAACGGCTCAAAATGCCCTATACATTACATAATGCACACCATAGCCGCGTTCACACCGGAGTACTTTCACCCGTACTTTTCCCCTTTAGTTCCGTTAGTGCCAGTGCCCGTTGCGTTCACACCAAAAAGTTCACTTGGTTCAGGGCACTTTTAGCCCCATGTTTAGTGCCTGCTAGAGAGGTGGTACTCTCCTGGGGGAAAAAAGTGCCCCAGTTCTGATTGGCTGGGCGAATTGCAAACGACGCCCCGTAAAACTCTGAAATGTTTTTTGAAGCCGCCATTGTATTTGCTGGCATTAGCATTATTAGCATTAGCCCCGCGCACCAACGGAGAGAGAATAACTTATGGCAACACAAAAAAAAACATGGGAGCGGTGGAGTGATGAGGAGGTGTCGGCGTTCTGACGGTTTACTCCCCAACTCCGGGGACTTCCGGCCGGGGACTTCGGGTGGCAGTATACGCCGTGAAGTTGTTGCGGCCTGCTCTAGGGGGGTCCGGGGGCCTGCTCCCCCGGGAAGATTTTTTTTTAAATATTGAAGTTAAAAGCATCAATCTGGTGCACTTTGAGAGCAAAATAAAGAGATCTATGGATACATCTCTCAACACCCATTTGAAACAGAACTGTTAACAGATTTACTATTTCTTTATGGATATTTTACAAATCACTCCCCTTTTAAACTTTATTCTTTTTTTACTGTCATATAGTATTTCATACCTGTTTTTCATTTATTCTCTTATTTTTTTATAACTATAATGATCATATCATGTGTCTTGGAAATAATTGCTTACATTAATCGTGGCCAAAACGGTTGAGACCCACTGAGATAACTTAGACTAAAGTTAACTATCTAAACACTCAGAGAGTGTAAGGTACTTATAGTTTTAATGATACAGTCTGGTTATAATGCTGTTTGGAGGAGGCATCACAGGTAAAGGCCCAGACACACCAGGCCGTCACCAGAGAACTCGCCGACACCGACACCGACAGTTGCATCGGCGAGTTCTCCTGCGTCTTGGCCATGTGTCGCACTGGAACACACCGCAAAGACTTCAGCCGAGCACGTACGAACTGCGCATGCGTGAGTGGCAATAACTCTCCTTACCAGCAGGCGGCGGTAGTGTGTATTCGTCATTCAAAATAGGCAAGAACCGGAAGACAGAGAAGAAGAACAGACTGATATAAACAAACAACAAATAGCGTGTGCGTTCCATTTTCACTCTCGTCCATCGAAAACATGTTTTGGAATATAAAAATACATGAATGATGAAATGAGCACATAAAGTGCAGACATACTATAAAATCACAGTTAATAGACCTGCATCTGATGATCGCAGTGTTCTGGCGGGTGTGTAGTTTATTGAGTCAGCAATGTAGTAATGTATGTAATGTAATAATGGCCACTTCTTGCTAAATTTACATTTCCATGTGATGCTTTTATCCGAGGCGACTCACAATAGGTAAATGAACAGCAGTAGACACTATCTCATTTACTTAGACACTGTACTTAAGGACAATGTTGAGGTACTTGAGACTAATCCTGCAACTTTATACTGACAAATAAACCGATGAGATGAAAAACCGGACTTGACCAAACAAATCACAGAGCTCTCAGCAGAGGACAGCCGGGGACGTTCCCGCCGATATCAGAGATGTCCCTGCTATGTGTGGGAGGTAAGAGAGGACATTTAAGGGCTATGTTTGATGTCTTTAAGTATCACCTGCTGGGGTTTAGCTGCTGTCCTGTGCCTTCTTAAATCGTTTGTTTACGTCCCTCACTTCCGTTTCGCTTCTCATTTGCTAGCTGAACAGCTGATCAGAGTGGTTTCTTGGCCCGATAGCTTGTGTCCGACACACGGCCGATTCAACATGTTGAATCGGCCGTGTGTCGACCGTGAAAGGCCAAATAAGGCGTGTCTCGGCCAAGGGTTCGGGACACACCAAATTGACTTTGGGCGACAGGGCACGCTTCGTCGCCAGACAACCGAAGACGGCCGATATCGGCCTGGTGTGTCTGGGCCTTTAGAGCACTAACTAGCTACCATCACATGTACCTTAGCTTGAATTAAATGTATTAAACCTATAATTAAAGGTGGGGTAGGTAATTTTGGAGAAACCAGCTCGAGTGCGCTAGAATTTGAAAATACACAGCCGGAAAAAATCTGAAACTTCCTTACAGAGCCCCTCCTCCAACACACACGAACGCACACATGACCAATGAGGGCATGAGATAAGTTTGTGCACAGATGGAAGGCTGACAGGCAGGTAGGCCATCCAGTTACCAGTTACGGCTAAAATGATTGGTCGTGCTTTTTACAGTACTACGGCTTCCACAGATGAAAATTTTTTATGGATTTTTTGTCAAAGCACTTCATTGCTATCGGGATGTTAAGAGCATTCCATGGAATATAACAAAAAGTGTATCTCGAGCCGGTTTCTCAAACTTACCTACCCCACCTTTAAGTGATAGCATATTCATATTTGCTTGATTCCAGTGTTGAATTTAGCACAATTGCATACAAACGTTAAGGGATTTTAAGATTCTGAAGTATTATCCTAAAAACTCAATAACTTAGATTATTATTTATAGTTTTGCTGAATAGTTTAATGTGCGATTACCTTAGAAACGTAAAATGCGACGGCAGTGTGCAGACATGTTAGCTTAGCTTGGTAGCCTCAGCTAGCTCTGGAGCTTCCAGCTCGGTGGCAGCAGGTCCCTTCTCGGCTCCGTCTCTTTGCCCTTATAGAGAGGCGAAGTCCCTCCCTTTCCGGGGGAGCTCCATGGGACCTTATTTCGGAAAAATTATGTATTGAAGTCAATGGGGAGAGAAAGATTATCTTTCGATTCCGTTTGAATTGTGCCACGAATTACACATATGATGTTTGTCAATTTAAAAGATAATTTTGCAAGTCAAAAAAATAAAAATGTGTGAAACACTCAATGAACTACATCTCTGGTCTCGCACACGTCACCTACACCAAGATGGCCGTCACGTTAGTACATTTCACCTCTTTCTTTCAGAATGAGGCAAAAAGTATTAAAAGAGGTGAAAATCACTACAAGTCTGGGCATGTTGAGAGCTGTACATACACAAAAGGGGAGTTAGTCGAGCC